CTTGGTAGGATATGGCAAGACAGAAAACACCATATCCTACATCCCAACAATTTCATCTTTAGGTAAACTATAAAGAAGCATTACCACACTAGAACAGGAGAACATGCACAGAGATGTTCCATGAAACACAAAACTCACAACTACCTAAATGGGTGTCACTAAGGAAGTGGATATGAAATATGCTACCTTCACAGGGTAGGGCCCTGTGTTAAAGTTAGATCTTAATAGGGGGATAATTGAAAGTTAACATTAAGATAAAAAAAAATTATAGAAAAGACACAGTAAGAGGGGATTTATGCAAATTTATAAAACACATCATGCTATGCATTGCTTATGGATAAATACTGATGGAGTAGATGTATGAAAGCATGAACTGGAATACCAAATTCACAAAAAAGGATGTCTTGAGGAATGGAAGATGGAGTATGGGCACAGAGGGACCTTCAACTTTATTATGATTTTATTACTTTTTTAAAAATGTGTATTTCTGAGTTTAATATACAGTGTTGTAAACCAATGTTACCTTAATAAAGAATATTAGGGAAAATTAAAAAATAACATTAGGGAAAAACAGTGTCAACTCTGAGCATTTGGTATATTGATATGTTTATATTATTCTCTGAATCTTCTTGGATTTTTAAAATTTTCTCCAAGAAACAAAAGTAAAGAATGAAGAAGATAATATATTGCAAAATATAAAATTTACTAAGTAAGAGATACAGATCCAGATGCAAAAGAATGTAGCAAGTGAAAATGAACATAGACAAGACTAGGAGGGTTTCTCAGAGGAGGTGACATGTAAGCTGACTGATGAGATCTCGCAGACAGATCAAGTCAAAAAGGTGATTCTGGTAGACACACTGCTTTGAAGAGTGCTGGGTTTGGTGTTAGAACTCCTTGGACCCACACCCAGCTGCTATATCACCTCTGTGACCTTACAGATTGGTTGCATGTGCTTGAGCCTTGGTATTCTCTCTAAGAGATCCTGAGGTCTATCAAATGAGACAATGCCTGCGAAATCAACCAACACAAGACTTTGCATATGGAGAAGGTGAAGAAAAACCCACAGAGGTGGTCCCTATCCAACTTTATTCCCCAAACAAACACCAGGAAAATATGGTTCTTTCTCCTTGCTTGAATTTGGAAATTTAGATGCAATATTTGCTGGACCTGACACTTGTGCTTCCAGCATGTTCTTGCAATAAGCCAAAGAGGTGTCCAAGCAACACACAGCTGTGGTAACCTGTTCTAGGGAGATAGAAGCTGGCTATTGGCAAACTAGGTTAGGCCAAATGAATACAGTTGGGCTCGTGCAGGGGGAGAGAGGGTACGTACAGAAGCAGTTCATATCTATTTTCTATTTTCTTCCATCTTGCGCACTTACTGTTAACCTTGCTGGTGGTCATGTAGTCCTTAATGTTTCCCCTGGTACAACAGAAGAACCACTGAATCCTGAAAATCAGTCATATCCTTCCCTCTTCTCGACCCCTGATGTCAGAGTGTGCTGTTTGTTCAACTGTGATTAATTTTTATTCACTCTCTTTCTGTCCCCAGTAAAGATGATTCAATTGTCTTAAGAATATTTATATTCCAAAGGGACCTACACTTCTGCTACACCAGGAGCCCAAATAATTCCTGCAGGTGAAATTGCTCCAGCTCTGTGCCATCCAACAGTGTCGGCAACCATGATCTGACTTCATTCTCAACAGTACCATCTGTGACAACTGGGTTTTCCTTACAAATACTTGAATGGGCCATTTATGGAAAACTCTCTGCCTCATGCTGAACTCAACTAAGGCCCTTCCTCAGGGCAAGTTTGGTCATCAATTATTTGTAGCATATACTGACCTCAGATTCATGACATTAGAGACTTGCCTTCTAAAAATTGCCATGTGCCCATTATGTACAAAAATCCATCATTAACAGCACAACTATAAGATAATTAGAAAATCAAGTGGGTTTCTATCATTTCCTCCAGCTGTCAGAATTATTTTCCTTTACCTTTAATCATTTTTTTTTCTCATTTTAGAAGGATGATGGAAAAACAAAACCCCAACAGGGAAGGAAATATTGCAAAATGGCATTTTGATTGCTGGGAGCATTTTAAGAGCTCTATGTATTTGGCACCTGGAAGAAAACAGAAGTTGATAATGCCAAGCAGTATATCATCGTGGGGCTGTTTTGGAGGATTAATTGCAGATTTATGCTTCAGAGTGGCATGCTATTTTGGAAAGCAAACCAAAAAATATTACCTTGGCTACCAGAAACTGCAAGAGTCAAGGCCCAATAATCTAAATTTCTCGCATCACTGGTAACTGGAGAAAAAACAAGTTATGGTTTTGTTTTAGGTCATTTCAGGTATGAGTGGCTCCAGTGACATGTGCAAATGTGAATAAAGCAGACTACTCTACTTCATATTCTTATTGTTCCCAGTCTTGACAATCTGCCAACCTCTATTCTGACTATTGCTCTCTGTCTCCCCTCGACACACTTCAGTGATAAAATGTCAGTCAGAAAAGTTTCCTTTTCTTACCCACTCTAGGTCATACTCTATCACAAAAGTTTGAGGTTTCTTTGGCCACTGTATTACAAAAGTTTTAATCTCCTTTAGTTCTTAATATCATACTTGAATTATATAGGACAATTTTTGTCTAGAAATAAAAAGATCACAAAGATGGACAAAAACCATTTGGGGGATTTCCTTTAAATTATAGTTAGTCTGGAGCTGTGATCTGCTTTCCCTCTGTTTCTCAAAATCTTAAACAAGTTGTCCATCAAAAGATGGAGTCTGTGTCCCTTTATCCTTGAACCCGGGATGTTGTGTGAGTCTTTCAACTGGTAGAGGACAGCAAAGGTGATACAATGTGACTTCCAGGGCTGAGTCACACAAGGCCTTGTCTGCAGGAACACTGACATTTGGAACCAAAACTTCTGTGTCAAAGTCAAACTGCTCAGAAAGCAACCATAGTGTGAGGAAGCTCAGGTAACATCAAAAAGGTACGTTTGATGTGCTCCGGTCAACAGCCTCTGCGGTCAAGCCCTCCCAAGTCATCAAAGCATAGATGCCAGAATGGGGAGCCAAGAAGCCTACAGAAGATTCTAAGCCTCAGTTCTCAAGTCACACCAAATGTTTATTTCTCCAGTTGAGACCCAGATAACAAGGGACAGAGACAAGTCATCCCACTGGACATTTTCTAAATCCCTGATCCACGAAATCCATTAGCATAATAAAGTTTTTAGATTATTAATTGTGGGGCAAAAGTAACCAGGATTAACTCCCATTATTTTCCCTTTCATGACTGTGATCCCAGCATCAGGAAGTCTTCACTGTACAATTAACAATTGCTGCCATAAAAGCCAAACTGAGTTGAAATAGTATAAGAATCCTATACTAGCCTAACACCTCCTCAGGGCTACACTCAAACACAACGGTGTTAATGGCAGGGAGAGCATAATGTCTTTTTTAAGGAGATCAGAAAAATAAGTGAGAAAAACACACATGAACACAAAGATTTGCTTACATATATGGACAGGTTGGAAGTAATGAAAAGTTATCCATTATAACATAAATAGCCATTTCCTCTGGATAATGAAATTAGGAGTAAATATTAATTATCTGATTTTTCATACTCATCTGATTTTTAATATGTTTTGACCAATGTGTATATATTACTGTTAACCTTTTTTTAGAGAACTATTTGTTTAACTCATTTAAAATAATATGGCTATTAATAGTCTTATCTTCTGCCCCCACCTGTAAGGGTGTTATTAAAATTGCCAACCTAAACCTGTTAGCACTCATCAAGCTACCCTAAGAAGAATAAATTTAAACAGAGCATCATCCTGGGATCTTGAGTTATGATTATGTCAAACTCTTGTAGTAGATCCATCTGAGCAAGCCTGACTCTGGCACATATATATAGACCTCTGGTTTTGTGGATTTCTGTATGTCTATCACCTCTGGACTTCAGGATGCTAAGACACAGCAATCTGGGTCTCCCCGGTGGTGCAGCATTTGAGTGCTGTGATGCAAAGCTGCCCGCAGCCTCTGCAGCGCCGATTCGATCCCCGGCCACCGACCAGGGTCCCACATGGTGCGCAGACCTCTCCTGCCGCACCCACTGCTCCCCTCAGCAATGTACTTCATCAGTCTGCCTGTTTTGCTCTCCGCTCTGGCTCTGGTGGGTTCTCTCACCCTCCCGCGCTTCTGACTCTACCCAGTGCTTGTATAAATAAATAAATAAATAAATAAATCTTTTAAAAAAATACAGACAAATCTAACTTTGTTGTGGGTAAATTTAATTACCAGTCAGACTCATTATTATAATCTAGTCTCCAGGCTTGGGTCCATTCCAGTTTTCTCCATTTGGTTCCTTATATCATGACCTCCACTACCCAGATCTGGAGTGATTCTCAAGATTAATTTTACTAATAGGAAGTCACTGTGGACATGTGACTCACAGAGACACAGAAATGTTCATTTCTCAAATATTTCCACTGTTGGCTAATTTAGTCACTAAAATACAACCTTAGTAATTCACAATTTTTAATATAAACAACTGTGCATTAATTTTGTTATGTTTATTTTAAGATAGTTACTTTGTTTAAACATTTCATAGAAAAAATAATTCTTTATTTCACTAACACTGTATTTTAAAGTTCAATTTCCAGGTAAATTTCTCTTTTTTTGCTGGGTAGGAAGGGACATAGGCAGCATACGAGATTGGGGCAATGTCAGCTCTCCTTAGAAACACAAGCCATATGCCCCTTGTGCTTTTAATGAAAATCTACTATTATAATCCATGTTGTCCAAGGTCATACTACAAATATATCAGTCATCCAACTAATAAGTCTTATCTATAAGATTGAGAATAGTAACATTACTTCTGACTAAAACACAAGAGTTGCTTTTTGGTGCAAAAACAGTAAATGAAGTTTTAAACCAGGTTTTAGTGAACTATGAGACAGAAAGGGGTTATTTAGAAATGTAATTGTCTAACCTTTTACTGTCCTCTCCAAACATTCACCCCACAAACCATTCAAGGACCAGAAAACTGCCAATGGAACTGGGAATTACGGCAACACCAAGAGACATTCACGTACAGGTGCCAACCTAGAATGAAAGAGAAAAAAAATGAGGACAGAAAAGTGATAAGGAAATAAAACTGAAAAAGAAAAGAGTAAGAAAATGCAGGAACAGATTAGAATAAAGGTTCACAGAAACTTCCAGTGCATGAAAATTGCGCAAATTAAAGTAGAGGCAGAATCTATGTTTAAAAAAAGAAAAGAAAAAGGGGGAAAAAGTACATTCACCTTCATGTATCTTATTCAGAACTCTGACAAACTGAGCCAAAATTACAGAGGTGAAAAGTTTTAAACTTTTCAAAGCATTTCCCAAGAATGAAAACAAAGTGGCTTAAATAGAAATAATGAAGGCACATGTAAGAAAGTGATCTTCACTGTGTACGAATGCTGCCTTCTATTTTGTGACTCCAATTAGACTCAAAAAAATATGGATGTGGATTCACTAAAGGCAAAGGAAACAATGTGAAACAGATCTAAAGATAGAACCTCTTTTGGGAAAAAGGACAAGGAAAAGATCTGTGCACTGAAAGATCACCACTTTGAAATTGATGAAATTGCACTTGGGGCAGTAAATGGAAGCTGCGTTTCATTTAGTGGATGATGAACTCACAGAGTTATTATATTCAAGAGCAAATGATGGGTGCCCATTTAAACAAATTCCAAAAGGGTTAAAACCATTGCAAAGAATTAGTTATAAAGGAGCTGGATATATTAGGCTTAAATAGCTTGGAGGTTGATAAATACAATAGCACACAAGCCAGGGATCTTGAGTAGGTGCTTCTTGGTCTGGTTTCAGATGATGAATACAAGAGTGTGATATTAATAGGAGAGTGTGATATTTATTAGAGGTTGATGTTCTGATCATTTTAAAGTATCCCACAGTACACTTTAGCAATGCACAGGCAGTATTGGTAGGAGCGGTCACAGTAACAGGAGTGGAGTGTACTTATTAGTGAATATAATGGTGTTATTTATAGTCCTAAAGGGCTTCACTTACTAAAGCCAGAGTGCTTGTTTGGAATTTGAGTGCCAGTCACCCTGTGCCGGCTGGAGACAGTTAGTTCTACAGCTGCTGGGCTGGGTCCCACCACTTAACAAAGATGTCTTTTTATTTCCATGGTAAATGATTTAGTCGGTCTCTTGTAGAATTATTACCAGAATCTGCATACAGCACAGGTGAATATCTCTACTAGTATCTATATTTTTGTTTCTTTCTCTTCTTCCTTCCAAAAAGCTTAATGATAGAAAGATGGATATGGACTTGGACACAGAGCTAGAGAGCTATGCACACACACTGGCATGTTAGGTATTGGGCACACAGAACTGGCTTATAATAATAATAATAACCATACTTACTGAGCTTATGCTGCATGTCAAGCAGGCACCGTTCTAAGCCCTTTGCACTAACTCCTAGCACCATGCCTAACGCAGAAACATTCTCTAAATGTGCTGAACACACACTGAATATTTGAAATTCATCAAAGTGTCGTTCTTCCTTCAAGTTTCCCATATGAATTGTCAATTAAGGCTTTTAATTGCTGGGGGCAGTGGTCAAGAGCACAGATACCTATTTCTGGTTAGTTCTCTTTACCATGTAATTAAACTTTAATATAATAAATTTCAAACTCAATTTTCCTTATGTCTCTATTGTCAGTTTAAAAATCTTATTTCATTAAAAAAATCTAGTAACTTCATGTAAGAACACTTCCACTTATTTTTAATTAGTGAGTTATTTATAAGTTTAAAGTATTAAGCTCTTCAGAAGTCCTGTTTATACTCTATTGATACTTTAATATACCCTAGTCTCAGGGGCCTCCCTGGTGGTGAAGGCAGTTGAGTGCAGCTCTGTGAAGCTGTCTGCAGCCTCTGCAGTACCAGATCGATCCCCGCCAGCCTTGGAGCCACCCACATGGCGTAGCAGTCCTCTCCTGTCTCGCCTGCTGCTCCCCTCAGCAGTGTATTTCATTAGTCTGCCTGTTCTCTTCCCCACTCTATCTCTGGTGAATCCTCTCACCCTCCTGTGCAACTGGACTGTACCCTGGCTCTTGTATAAATAAAATAAATCTTAAATATATATATATATATATATATCCTAGTCTCTCAAGCATTTCAAATATTTGAAAAGAAATATAAATTTAGGGCCTCCCCGGTGGCGCAGCGGTTGAGTGCTGGGTTGCGAAGCTGCCCACAGCCTCTGCAGCGTCGGTTCGATCCCCAGCTGCTCCCCGGCCACCAGAGGAGGGTCCCACATGGCGCGCAGACCTCTCCTGCCGCCTGCTGCTCCCCTCAGCAGTGTACTTCGTCACTCTGCCTGCTCTGCTCCCCGCTCTGGCTCTGGTGAATTCTCTCACCCTCCCGTGCTTCCGACTGTACCCAGTGCATGTATAAATAAATAAATAAATCTTTAAAAAAAACTAAAAAATATATAAATTTAAAAAGCAAAATCTAAGTATTTGAGAAACGGGTAAATCTACTATATCAGACTTATAAATATATTAAGTCAATTAAGTAAAAAAATCTACATAGGTGAGGCACACAGAAAGCAGCACAATGATTATAACTTGCAAACATGCTGCGTATTAACATTATATTCATTTCTTCATCATTAACTTACTTAAATTTGAACCTTTCTAGAAGAAAATATTCCATAAAATATTTTACTTATATTTTATATTACATATAAATATTATATTCATATTCTTTAAAGATATAGAAACATATATATATTTCAGCTAAAATGAATCTGAAGAATTATATTCAAGAATTGGCTTCCAGTTCATAGAGAAGGTCAACCTGCTAAAATACACACTTAATGCTTCCCAGAAATATCAAGGTCCAAGTAGGTAATGACACAGATCCATGCTTTATCCCTGCATCTGTGGTATAGGGCAAGAGTAGCATATAAAATAATCAAATATATTATAAAATGTCAATTATCTAAGTAGATTGGGGCTGCTATATATAGTTTGTAATCCTGAATCTATAGAATAAAAGATATGTGAAGCTTCTGACTGGCCCCTCATCTTTAGATAAAGCACAGTAGTCATTCTACAGCAAGTAATAAGATGTCCCAATAAGACGTTTCTAGATTAAAGGAAGTATTCACCCATATTGATATAATAAAGACCGCTGTGATGTTAATGATAAAAAGCTAAAAGACAAGACTGGGTTTATAAGGAGTCACTGCATTTTCTCAGAATGTGTGTGTGAGTGTGTGAGTATGTGAGTGTGTATGTGTGTATGTGTGAGTGTGTGAGTGTGTGTGTTTGTGTAAGAGAGACAGAGACAGAAAGAGAATGATAGAGAGATGGAGGGAGGGAAGAGAAAGAGAAGAATCTTCCACTCTTGAGTAGCTTTGCTAACTTAAAACCAGAGGCAATGGGAGAACTATTATCATCAGATGCTTATTTAAAACAACACAGAGGACCTGGACGATCCATGAAGCAATTCTAGCATTTTCCTCCATAATTGCTTCACTGTATTACTGGAAAAAAAGCTTTTAAGAAGAAACAATTTGTCCCTTTACCCTTCTCCTACCTTCAAATTCTTATTATTGGTAACTTGTTAGGAGAAAACCATTACCAAGACCATTCAATTCACATTAGAAGATTTTTCCTGTCTGCACACCAACTCTTTGATGGATTTTGTTCTTTTTTCAAACCAGGACAGTGAAAAAAGAAGAGTAAGCATTCTGTGCCTTTTTCTAACCAAAGTGAAATAAAGCTAATAATGTCCTGAAATGTAAATACAAGTTACTAAAGGTAGAGCCTATGTTTAACAAGTGATGAAATGGCAATGTAGGGAGAAAAATTTGATTCTCCTATTGTCCACTAGAAAATAATACAGTATATGGTTTCTAACTTCCAAATTCAAGTTAAAATTTGCCTTACACAGTGAAGAGATATAACTGAAAAATTATTTAATCAACTTTTGTAACCTAAATCATAAGTCATCAGAAACTTACTGTGACCTCAGACACTCTGTCTTCATTTTGAAATCCTAATGATTTTAGCTTCAAGCCTCTGTCCTGTCCCACCTCTTAGTCTAATAGCTAATGATCTATAAATAAAAATTTTAATGCATTAGTTTGAAACCTCTATTCCTCTAAGAGTATTTTTGTGCTCAGAATCATTTTTCAAATGAACAATCAAAACCCAAATCCTCTGCTTCATAAAATTTAATGATTACATAATGGGTTTTCTTACAAGAACACACACCTTTATAATTAAATAGAACTTGAAGTTACTTTGATGAACTATAACTTCATGATTTATGTGGTGCAAGGTTGGCACTTAATGAATTACATTCCCCCCATTCCATGTCTGTGTTTAGTGTAGATCTACACTCTGCTTTTCGTCTTTTCTAGACCAGATGCTGTGCAGTGCCTGACACACAACAGCAACTGAAGAGGTATTGCTGATCACAAACGGCTGCGATCTCACAAGTTCCTAGTTGCAGTGCCTTCCTCGTACAGGTCTTTGCACATCTTTAGCTCATACAGAATTCCTGTTAGATGAAACCCTTAACAAAAATGTCTCTGTGGTTCTTCTCTTGAAAGGTCAGTGCTTGGAAGAAAGTATTTACAACCTTTGTGTAAGGCAGGAAACCAGAAAAATCAAAACTAGTGACTCTGGCAACAGAGATTTCTACCTACTACTCACAACTAAAACTTGAAGCCACTCCAGACCACACTCAGTATGCCACTCTCAGTCCTGCTATCTCACCACCTGTGCATGCGATCATCCGAGAAAGACATGAGGGCGAATGGTATAAGCTACAATTTGTTTAAAGGGAGGTGTGGGGAATGTGCCAAGTAATGGGTACAGGGGGCTTAAGAGTAATCATTATGAATGACGAAGCAATACAGGGTGGTAAAAGGGGCAGATAAATACAGTGAAAATGGCCAGGAGAAAGCCATTTTTCCTTCCTGTATATTCACTCTCTTCAGATATCAAAGTGTGACTCTTCTGGATGATTCCATCCTTCTGTGTAATGTAAGTAGATTAGCAGAAGCTATGGCTTTGGGAT